TCCCTACACTGAAAAATGGTGGTGGGGGCGCTTTAACAAAAGCTCATTAGATGAGCTTTAAAGTGCCCCCACTGCCATTTTTCAGTGCAAAGACTCTGATGTGATGTTCTGGGTGCTTTAATCAGTGGCTCCTGGAGCTGCCCTAATTAAAGTGCCCCCCCTCCTCCCAGAGCACATCCATAAATGCCCCAGCTGACTGAACACTTAGCAGCAGCCACAGTGGAGCACCAGGATCACTTCCAGGAGCTAGAAGTTTTGAAAACATCTTTAGGTAAGTCAAAGAGACAGTTAGAGGCTGCAAAGGGGAAGCAGAGATCACCCAAGAGTGTGAGTAACCACCTGTATGCTTGAACCAAGAGACCCCAGGAGATGAGACTGAGATGGTCCAGCTGGGGAAGAATACAGAGGCAATATGCCTAGAACTCATGTCCACATGGAAACAGGTCCTGTTAATGATGATCAGGTGCCTAGACCAGAAGTGGGGTGAGCTGGCAACAAGGCACAAGAAAGAAATAGGTGGACTAAGAGAAAAGCTAGGAGAGCTCACCAGCTGGTATGAAGCTCAGATATTGGCAGTGACAGCAATTAGAAGTGGAGTTGGGAAAGGACCATGACTAAACAGAGAAGAGAACAAACTAGGACAAGAAGCAGAAGCTGTAACCCATTTTGCCAAGACTGCATCCATAGAATGAAATACCGAACACCAAGAGGCTGGAGCACAATGGTAGGCCAACCCCCAATGCAGCATCAATCAGATGCTCAAAAATGGAGACAACAGCTAAAACCACAATAGAAAAATGAGCCTAAGGTTGGAACTCAAAGGTGGGAATTGCAGGGCAAACACCAGGAGAGACTTCAGAAAAGGCAAATCAATATCAGAAGAGCAACCCTGGGGGAAAGCCGCTAAGTACCGAAGAGAAACAAAGCCCACCTCTGTGGTTGTCAGCAGAAGTCATGGGACCGAGATGACAATTGGGGAATACTGAATAGGATAAATGGCATAAAGTTGAAAGGACCTCAAGAGGGTGTTACTTAACTGGGGCCAACGAGGGAAACCCTAATGAAGGATGAGCCAACCCAGAAGGAGACTATTGTGACCCCAGATAAGGAGACAAGATTACCTTTACCGCTAAAGACAACCAGGTAAGAAAGGAGGCAAAGGCCTGGAAGGAGGCCTCAGATAGGTCACCAACCTCCCAGGCCCAGCTAAATGGTACACTGTGAAAAACTATTTGAAGAGAATGTAGGGGGTGTTGCATATGTGAGATTGTATACTGGGGCTGGAGGAAGGCCTAGAGGCTAGGAAAAAATGAGTTCTGAGGCAAAAACTATGCCCAGAAACCCCCAAGAGCTCAATGGGAACTTGAGGGAAGACTTTCAGACTTGCAAGGAAGACTATGGAGATGAGAAGCCCCAGGAAGTCCTCTGAGAATGAGACAGCCAGGGCATATAACTACCTGGTACAATCAGACTGGAAGAAGAAAGCAAGCTGCACTCCTAGAGATAGAGGAGAGTCAGTGTACTGGGGTTGAAGAGAATTTCCCAGCTACCAGACCTGAGGTCTCGGCTAACGAGAAGAGAGAGCCAATAAGGGGTCCGCTATGAGGTATGAAGCCCCAAGATGCATGCTAGGGAGCTGGTATGGGCCAAAAGGACAACCCATTGGAGGGGTGTCAACGGTTTGAAGCCTGTGCAGAGAACCAAGAGAGGGCTTGTGGAGCACAGGAATTTAAGACACTCAGAACTAGCTACCTCAGAAAACCACATAGATGACACCTAAGAAGTCAAGAGGGAAAGCCTTGTTTGGTCCTGGGTAGGACCTAAAACTGCACCCTATTAGAGCTGGTTAATGTGGTGGGATTACCTGTGGCAAGGTAGCCTCTATCACAGGGGCAGGCAAAGTCTGGCCCATGGGCCAGATCAGGCCCGTCACAGACTCCATTTCTCAGCAGCCCCTCCCCACTTTGCAGCATCCAGTTTCCAAGGAGACCCCAGCAGCAGCGGGGCCATGACAGTGTGGGGCCAGGGTTTCCACGAAGACCAGCCCAAGCAGCACTGGCAGAGCACACGGTTGGATGAGAAACTGCTCTGGGGCCAGGATCTTGTGGCAGTGACAGCATGGTCCAGAGCTGGGGCAGAACTGCGATCTTCTGACCACACACTCCGGGCAGGGGCTTGCAGACTGTGGATCACAGCCCTGCCCCGTATCCGACCACGTTGTCACCACCTCCAGATCCCAGAGCAGCTCCCCACTCAGTTGCATACCCTGCCAGCACTGCTGGGGCTGGCCTCCATGGAAACCCTAGCCCCACACTATCACGGCTCCACTGCTGTTGGAGTCTCTGTGAAAACTGGCTGTAGTGACATGGGCAGCTGAGATGCTTTTTTTATTTAGGGTGGACCAGTGGTTTTGCCTTGAGACCTACTGAGGGTGGTTCAAGGCATACTCAGACAACCGGGAGCCCAGGAGGGCCCAGGGAGACCCTGAGGGTCCAGGAGCTCAGGGAGGAGCTACTCAGGGTATCTGGGAACTTGGGAGAGGCTCAAGTTCCAGGAGGGATGGCAGCCAGAGACTACCACAGACAGTGAGCCTGGTGACCTCAACTAGCCCAGGTGCAAAATCCAGGGGACCACTGCCAGGACCTGCAGTCAAGGACAGTGGAGCTTAGAAGCCTGGTCTGCTAATGTGGGCCTGTGCTAAAAGCCTAGTGAGAACAAGAGGGGAGGAGGCTGATAAGGCTGAGATCCCTGCAATAGAGTATGGTGGTACAGTAACATCTTAGAAGCTTGAGGCATGGTGAGGAGGAGGAATGGAGCCACGTAATTGGCCCTTAAGGCTACAGGTGCTCAGCAGAGGGACAGGCCAAGAGGGCCTACTAACTTGGGGGGCAGGACTGTGAATAATGGGATCAGGGGCGGGGGGGAGGCAGTGGTCATTGACACAGGCTCAGGCTCACTCGGAGGCCACAGGCAGCCTCCCTTACACAAACTTCAATAAGAACAAAGTGTGGCAGGAAAGTGATCAAGGGAGGGCTAAAGTCAAGCCTGAGCATGGCCACCAGGCTGCCCCTGAGGTGCGAGCCTGCTACAGGACTATATAATGAGCAGATTCAAAACTAGGTGTGAATACATTCTGGGGACTCTGGCTGGGGAGTTAAAACACCAGGAAGGCTGCAGTTCAAGAAAGAGACACTCCCTGTCCCAAATAAGAAAACCTGAACTCAAATTCCAGCTCTTCTCAGTCTCATTTCATTTGCAATTGTATACTAGGGGCATCAAACCTGCCTGCGCCCCTGGGCTGGATCTAGACCATAGGTCTCCTCTGAACCCAGCAAGGTGTGTGGCAGCATGAGCATTAATGAATCTCCCTCCCAACCTCCCCTGCAGCCACTGACATGTATACCCATTAGGACTCCATCCTGGGAACCTGAAGGCAGTCCCTTGCCTCAAGGAGCATTGTGGATCATATATTTGACACCTCTGGTATATAACAAAGGGTCTGATTCTGTTCTTTCACACTAAGGTAAAATTGATTCTGCCTACCTGACTCCTCTCATTTACACTGGAATCTACCTAATGTAAGTCTAGCTCAGTCAGTGTGCTACGCTGGCATAAATTAAGTAAGAAACAGGCCCACTGACTTTAGACAAACTATTCCTGACTTACACTGGTATGGGTGAGATAAGACCCATAAATGCTTGATCAAGACTGGAATTGAATGATTAAGCTATATAGTTTGGTGCTTAAAATAAGACAGTGTTAGTACATTTTGCACATGCAAAGACAGCTTAGACCAACCCTGGAAGGAGGTTTTTTTGTTTTTGTTTTTTTTGTGAGTGCAGCTTAGATGCTGGTTTCTAGAAATTTATCCCATGAAGTTTGTGAAGAGTGAGGTTTCTGTACTGTGACTCCAGGGAAGCTTTGAATGGAAACACACCAGTTTTCATGTTTCTTGGTAACTAGCCCCCTAGGCATTCTGGATCAATATATAACATAATAATGACAATTCTGTTTGCAGTGAACATTTAGGTTGTTTCCTAAATGCAACATGGACTCTGGAAAGCTGAAACACCAGGAAAGCTGCAGTTCAAGTAAGAGATTCTCCTGGTCCCAAACAAGAAAACCTGACCTCAAATTCCAGTTCCTCTCAGTCTCATTTCATTTGCGATTGCATGAGTGCAGGTTCTCTGCCTGCTAACTGGGCTTCAGGATTAACACCCCAGGAATAGAAAGTACTCAGTGCTTTGATGCTACTGCCTAGCCAGGACAAAACACACCTTGTGTTACAATATCAGGACTCTCTGGAACCAGACAGCTGGAAAATACATTGTTTAAGTGAAAGCTGATTAAAAACCTACTTTCCACTAACTCCCAAGAGTGTGTGTGGTCTCCCTGTACAAGGACATACACTAGCAAGAACAATAGGTTTAACTTCCAACATGATTTATTTAGATGGTAAATTCTTTGGGAGGATTGCTGCTTTGTTCTGTGCATGTACATTATCTAGCACAGTAACTGACACTCCCAAGTACTACTATAATACAAGTAATAAAGAATGACTTCATGTAAAGAATTAGACATTCCGGTCCTCTTACTGTCAATTAACTCTCTCTATATAATGCACTCCATGAAGTGCTGGTTTACCTAAGTTGGAGATGTCCAGCTGGCAGTCCCCAAGGGGTTAACCTGTAGCCCACAGGCTCCCAGTCCAGGCACTGCACCCTCCATCACTCTCCTGCTGCCACTGCCAGTTTCCAAACTCCTCTCCCTCCTCCTGCTTCCACTACCTGCCCCAGGTTGGGGGGCAGTGCAGTGCAGTGCAATGCAATGCAGTGGCAGGGATGGGTGAGGGAGGGAATGAAGTGTGGCACCACACACTGTGGGATGAGGTGCATGTATCATGGTGCAGTGCAGCAGAGGGGGGAGGGCTGGCCACTCAGAAGCTGGACAGCCTTGATCTCAGCAATCACTGAACAAAACCAACTGTTTACCCTACTTACCTGCAAAGAAAAGAGTGTTAGCCCTCGAGGGTGTTCACCTGAAGAGGCTCTTTGTTCATTTCCTGCATGAGGGAATCTGTCTAAATTGTCACTATTGGTCTCCAACGATGAGTTGACTTTTAGCTCTGGGTGACCTACATTTCTAGGAGATGGCTCCAAGGTTATTTTAGAGAGTATTTTTGTTTCTATCATCTTTCTTCTCTCCTCCTCATTGCTGTTGGATTCATCAAAGTATGGCTTTCTCCTAGATGGTTTGTTATTCATACAGAATCCCTCTGTTTCCTCCTTTTTTTCACTGCCTAATTCTTTAATTTTATGAACTTGATCTGTGGGATCTACAAGTAATTCTGGAAGGAATGCTCCACTTTTGCCTACAGTTTCTCCAGTCAAGCTGGTAAATGCATCTGACTCATTTCTAGACACTGGTGTGCGTTCTCTTGCCACAGTTTGAGCGTCATCCATTTCTTCCTGAAGATCTAATCCACTTCTGTTCCACATCTCTCCTGGGGGTCTCCTAGTTTCTAGGATTTGCTATAGGGACAGAAAATACACAAAAGAAGTGACAGTCACACCTACTTTCCAAACCTATAAAAAGACAGCCCATACATTTAAAAAAAAGATTAGCTGCTGGAGTTTGCAACCTGGGAGGCATTTGGTACCTGACTGGATCAGGTCTCATCATTGTAAAAGTCAATAACATCTGGAAGACATGGATGTAACCAAAACCCCATGCCAAAATACTAGAGCTGGACAGTTCCTCAGCCTTTTTTCTAGGATTAGTTGATTTCATCATTTCAGATGAAATGTAAACTCTTTATCTAAGAATGGTTCTACAAGGAGTTAACTTTATACAATTATTTCTTGATACACCATTCTAACAAATTCCTCTCCATTTTCTATATTAGCAAATAGCAGTTGATGGCAATTTAAAAGGCTTATTGACTAGTCTTACTGTTAATGCCTGAATGAGTTACAGTTTTATTGTTCATACCAGGTGTAGAAGTGGCTCAACGATTAATAGACACTGACTTAGTTGCAAAAGAGACTCACAAACTCAATATGCTACAGCTTGTTCCTTAAATTGTTGTTCCAGTTACCCATAAATGCCTTCACTACACTCCCTGAAAAGCAGTCTGCTGCTTGCCTCCATCATGGAGACAGGCATGCCATACGTGGAAAGGCCAAGCAACCTGTGACTCTTCAGCATGAGGAAAAGAAGGCTGAGAGGGGACCTGGTAGCAACTTACCGCTACACCAGGGGAGTACATCAAGGGCTCAGTGAGCAACTGTTCACCAAGGCACCCGAGGGGAAAGCCAGGAGTAATGGCCACAAACTCCTAGAAGATCAATTCAGGCTCAACATTAGGAAATACTTCTTCACAGTCAGTGTTCAGACTGTGGAATGAGCTCCTTCCAGAGGTGGAGGAATCACCTACCCTGGAAATCTTCAAGAGGAGACTAGACAGTCACCTTGCTGGGGTCAACTGACTCCTAGGTATCTTTCCTGCTTGGTGCAGGGGGCTGGACCTGATGATCTTCTGAAGTCCCTTCCAGCCTTATACTCTATGGATCAGGTGATTTATGGCAAGACAACTGATGCCATTTTCACTGCAGAGCAGTACACGACTCAAAACAGTTTATTTGATTTTTAGAAACACTGAAGGGCTCCCTTGGTGTGAGCTCAGAATCTTAAGGAGGAAGAGGGAGACTCTGAACCCAAGGCTCTTTGGCACAGAAGGAGAGAAAATTGCAAGAAGCTGCAAGGAAATGGGGTACTGCCGAGGGACCTTACAATACATAGATCAGTGTGAAGGGGAGAGATCCAGGCCTAAGAAAGAAGGGAAAATGCCTCTTACCATATTATTCCAATTGTAAGTCAACCTGGCATATAATCCATTACATATTTTCAATTTCAACTTTAGGAAAACCCTTTTTCCTTGAATACCAGTCAATAACTACTGATAAAAATCTAGAATTAATATTACCCTTACAAAATCCTGCAGGAGAATCAAATAATCAAGCAAGAAAGCTAAAGAGTTAAATGCACTAAAACAGTACTATAAAAGCTGCACAGAAGTGTGGCTGCAATTGTAGTCTGTAATACAGTCAGCAACCTGCATGTCCAGGTGTTCACGAGAAAAATCTTCAAGTTCTTCTGACAAGTCAGGGATCAGATTGGGTTCATCTCGCTGGAAAATGAAGAGCTCCCCATCATCCTCACAGTCAGACTGCCAAACAAAATAAAGACATGAAATGAGGAACCATTGTTTTATATACGTTTTGCACTGAGAAATACCTCATCTTATTACTGCTGTATCTGACATTTGGCTAAGGTCCAAGGGAAGGATTTCCAGCTGGGTACCATCTTCAGTGCTGAGTGTTCTCCATCCTAGGATTATGATAAGCTATGACTGAGCTCATTAATGCACTTAATTGTAAACAGTTTATTAATAATAAACAGTTGGATGAAGTCAGTAGGAGTAAGACCATTCCTAATACATCAATAGCAAAAAAGTCTCCTGAAGTTCAACAGGGACAAGACTGGGCAAATCCAAATCTTGAGGGGTGCCAAACCACTGAAATTGCATTGTACAACTCGGTGCAGTATTTAGAATGCACGCGCAGAATCTTGGGTTTTCTTAATAGGAGCATTTTAATGTAAGCAGAAACCATTCAGATCAAGATGTACCGCGTAGTCTTTGTAGGCTGCTGTTTTGTATTGAACAGGAGGGAGTAGTACAGGGGTGAACAATTATTTCAGGCAGAAGGCCTCTTACCAAGTTTTGGAAGCTGTCAAGGGCCATGTGGGTAGCCCCGCCCCTTGACAGCTGCCCCCCCCCCC